AGGTCCCTTCCGACCCTACTTCTATGATTCTATGATTCCTGTGTCCTGCGTGTATAGATGAAACAGGGGCCCTAAATTGAAGCGGTGGATTTTAAAAAACACTGCTTTGATTTAGGGCTGATTAAACCCCATGTAGTGCACACACCCTGCTGACTTACCTGCATCTCCAGCGGGGAGGGGAGGGCAAGCTGCCAGTGGGCGGAGCAATCCATGGGCTGCCAGGGGTGCAGGCGGTGCTTCCCTCCTTGGGAGCTGCCCCAACCCTAGGCGATACCCACCAGCAGGCACCCGGCTTGGGCAGTCCCAGGGGGCACCACAGCCATGGAGGGAAGCACCAGGCCCCTGTGCAGCTCAGGCAGGCTCCAAGGGCAGAGGGTGGTAAGATCAAGCTCACCGCTTTTCTTGAGCAGATCCTGCTTTCCTGGGCTGCTGTCAGGCTTCCTGAATGACTTCCTGCAGAGCTGTGGAGCTGCACAGACCCTGGCTGTAGGGGCAGCAAACTAAAACTCCTTGAATGAGTTTTAGTTTGCTGTGCCCCAATTCATTTAAGGCACATTATGCTGCCAAATTTCCTACAGCACCTGGAATTAATGCACAATATGCCACTGAGGCATACAAACACCAACATCATTAAAGTGGTACAAAAGCATTTAGCCCGCTTTAGATTGTCATGCGCACACACCTCTCATTTCGCCTACACACAGCCGTAGACACATGCCTGCAAGTGTTTGCTTTCTGGTAGTTTATTCAAGAAGATTATTTTAACGTATGGACGTGCCCACTGTTGCCAACCTCAAGAACTGGGTTAATGCAAAGTAAGTGCTAGCATGTGGATATTGCAGAGGTGATTCACAGCCACTTTTGCCTCATCCTTGAGTACAAAGACAGTTGCAGCTCAAATGGTGGAAAACAGAGCCAAAATCACTTTAGGATAATAGGCAATAATGCTAAGACTGGAAAAAAGCAAGGAGTAAAATTGCATGTGGGGAAAAAATAAGACAAAACATAACGCAACATATTTAGGCTTCCAGACTAAATAGCTTGTTAGAAAAAACATGATCCTCCACATTAGGCATCAACACAGGCAGGCAGCTGGTGTCAAAGAGGCCCTTCCCCTTTACTTCAAGCCAAAATCTAGTACTGCCAATCTTAAGTATTCAGAAATGAAGAGGAAGATCTCCAAAACTCACAAAATTTTTAAACATATATATTTTAAAGGGCTGTCTCCTGCATTTTGAGTCTTTCTATGAAGCCTCCCAGCTCCAAAACACGTGTGATCATTTCAGGTTCATAATTCAAAATTAAAACATTGTGGTAAACACAGATCTCCCTGGTAACTTCTTGGGACAGAACTCACTTTCCTAATGGAGTAGGCAAGCAGCTACTCCCTCATCTCCATCCCTCCCCTTATTAATATGCTTTGCACCATTGTCAGACTCATTTAAATGGGAAGGCAGAC